ATGTCCCCCCACCCATGAAACACGTATCACTAGTGGTGTGTTTCCTGGTTAGGAAAACACATATCCCTAGTGAAATGTGTTTCCCCTACCCAGGAACACATATTCTTAGTGTTCCCCTATCCGGGAAACAAACATTACTAGTGATATTTGTTCACCTATCTAGGAAACACATACCACTCTCGATGCTGACATTGATATGACGTTGAGATTTTGAAAAAGCGAATCTCTAGAGGGCCTCATTGTATTAAGTGATATTTTTGAGAAATTAAAGGCATATGAGTTTTGTTGAGCTGGTTAGTTATGGTATTGAATGCCTCTCTCTTTCTAATGCTCATCTTATATTATACGCCCCTCAAATTAAATAAATGCACCAGGCACTTGTCAGATCATTTATAGTAATCAGGCCAAGGTGCTTATTCAAATGTGGCTGCTAACAGTTATTTATGCAAGTATGGTTTACTAGAATTAATTGGTCTGTTCTGGAAATTGTTCTTATTTTTGTCAATTAATGATCAGTGAATTAATGATCTGATGTCGATTTTCAACTTTTCTTTCCAGATCAGATGCTCCAGATTGGATCAAGACTTTAGCAGCCTGGATTTAGTTAGAGATTATCTTCAGTATGGTAAGTGCAATACATTTTACTTCTTTCTTTTTTTTTTTACGGTTATATTGATCATCTTTGATAAACGTCCCTGACATGCAAGCTATAGAAACAGCTGTATGCCTTCAGAAAGAGAGGGAATTAGGGAGCTTTACAAACAATGGCGACAACAGCAATGAGAATGTTTTGGTAAGTCACTCCATGACTATGAAAATGCCTAGTTTCATGTGTTATGGAGGACATAAGTAAGGAACAACAATTTTCCTTTCTGAGTACTGTCCCCAAGAAATCAACTCCAGGAAAATTCACCTACATTTGGCATTCTCATCAAAAGAAATAAATGCGCCAAAGTTTGAGAAAATGGTAATTCATGTTCGGGTTCCTATAGAGTCTTTTATTCTTGAAAAAGTCTTGAAATTTGCCCAGCAATTTTTCAGACCTGGAAAAAGCCTGGAAAATGGAGATAAGGTCTGGAAAGATGGTATTAAGTCTTGATTTTTTATTTGTATTTGTCTTGTATTTTATTTGCCACGCATAACACGATTACAATTACAAAAAGATACAGAAAAGTAAGAAGAAATGGCAAGGATACCTAAAGGAAACTATAAAGCTTATGTTAATTAGGCCTCCTCAGTTATAATTTTTCTAAGATGGTATAAAAATTATGGTGACGGATACAAAATATTATTAGAGGCAAAATGAAAATAACAGTCAATGTTAAGGAAGTTAAGAAATGTTGAATATTAAACAGCTTTTTCTCAACGAAGACTTTTTGTGAGAGTATACTTATAATTATTACAAATAAATGACTTAAGTGCTCTTTTAAAGGAAGAAGGGGAGAGAAGTTGTTGATGTTGGTGTTTAAGGTGTTATAAAATTTAGGTCCTTGATAAAATACCGTGTTTGATTTGAGTACGACAGAAAGGCAGATGAAATTTACAAGAGTTTCTTGTATTATATGAATTAATTTGACTTTGTAAGGTAAATTTACAATGAAATTTTAAAGGTAGAGTATGGTTTTGGTAGGAGTACATGAACAAGCCTAGTTGTACTAAGTATTATCATGAAATTTTAAGATACCAAGATTTTGAAAGATTGGATCAGTATGTGCATCAAAAGGAGTTTTAGCTACAGTTCTGATCACTTGTTTCCGTAAAATCTCAAGATAAATAAGGTTAGTTCTGTAAGCAGAGGCCCAAACTAAATTGCAGTAAAAAAGCATATGGATAAACTGGAGAAAAATATAATGTTGATAAAAGTTTTGTAGATAAATAGAAAGTGGATTTTTAAGAAAAATTCCTATACATTTAGAAACTTTATTGGCGACATGTGAGGTTTCAGATTTCCAATTTAAATTTTCATCTATGATTACTCCCAAGAAAACTGTTTCTTTTACCTGATCAATTTTTTAGCCATTTGTTCAAAGTTGAATTGTTTGATTTGTACGCTTTTGGCATGGTTTAAATACAATAAATGTGTCTTTTTTTTTCAAGTTTAATGACAGCCTGTTAACTCTAAACCAAATTGACAACTTATTTAGCTCAGCATTCAGTATTTTAGTCAAGCAATCTTTATCCTTAAGAGAGAGAAAAATGTTTATATTATCGGCAAATAATATCAGTATTATTGTAATATTGTTGATGTGTTGATTATTTCATTGATGTAGAGCAGAACGAACAAAGGCCCATGTAAGCTACATATACAACAAGTGCTTTATAAGTGAAATTTGTTTCATGCAAATCTTCTTTAATCTTGCCCCTACGTTTGCAGCGCATCATGAAAAAAGCTTTGTTCAGGTTCACGGTTCAGTACATGCTTATTAATTAAATTACTTTTTTCCAATTTATTATTAATTCCATCAGTTAACAATCTTACTCACATGTATCTCAGCCTTTTGAGAGTGTATTTCAAAGTAGAAGTGTATTTCAGAGTAACCTGAAGTAGGATGTAGGAGTACTAAAATCACAGAAAAAATTAGTAGATTATGCCAACACTATTTATTGTTGGCCCGAAGGTTTTATTCCATGCAGGGGTTTCAATAAGCACTGAATGCTGACGAAGCGCGTTGTCTACTTTGCTCTTAAAGGTCAGCTACTTTTTTTCCAGAAAGAAGAAGCAACTAGTTTGAATAACGTTGTAAACAAAAAATATAATTATCGTAACATCTGAATGAAGACGTAATTTTGATGTGTTTTCATAAAGGCTCACTGGCTTTACGCTATGCTTTAGTCTTGTGAACGCTGTGTTTCAGTCATTTTTTCACAAGTTTCTTTATAGGTTTACGCAGAATTTGTTTACATGGTAAGGTACTTAATTTCATTTTCATCATTTGTCCATTGCCTCTAGGAATTGATTGTGTGACTGATAAATTGAAAGCTACATTTTCTTCAATGAAAAACACACTCTTTCGTCCTCAAATTTAGTGCCCAGAATGCTTAAAATTGCATTTAAGGGCTTTGGAATTTCAAAGTTTTTTGGGGCAGAACTCTCCCACACCCCCTTCCCCCCCTAAAAAACGGGGACTTGTTGATACAGTCGGTTACTCTATTCAAACCTGCTGGCTACTCCAATTTTTATTGAAACCCCTGCCATGGTTGATGAATTTACAGCTATTTGCACATAAGTTGATCAAGTGGCTGCCAGGGGAGTGTGCAGATTGGTCCTTTGACAACATTATGAGATTTTCGCTGCTGTTGCCGTCATCAATGCTAAAGCTCCCTCTTATGGCTGAACAGGAGTGTTCTCCCTTAATCAGATCATCAAGATGCTATATTCAAATGTGGCTGCTAATAAACTATATAATGGTATTTCCCCTACCAGGAACACACATCCTTAGTGATATGTGTTTCTCTACCCAGGAAACACATATCACTAGTTATGGTATTGAATGCCTCTCTCTTTCTAATGCTCATCTTATATTATACGCCCCTCAAATTAAATAAATGCACCAGGCGCTTGTCAGATCATTTATAGTAATCAGGCCAAGGTGCTTATTCAAATGTGGCTGCTAATAATTATTTATGCTAGTATGGTTTACTAGAATTAATTGGTCTGTTCTGGAAATTGTTATTATTTTAGTCAATTAATGATCTGACGTGGATTTTCAACTTTTCTTTCCAGATCAGATGCCCCAGATTGGATCAAGACTTTAGCAGCCTGGATTTAGTTAGAGATTATCTTCAGTATGGTAAGTGCAGTACATTTTACTTTTTCAAAGTTTCTGATTTTTGTTACAGTTATATTGAACATCTTTGAAGGAGAAACCTCCCTGATATACAAGCTTGAGATATGCCTTGGCTTGAGAAAAGAAAGGGACACTTATTTTCCAGTAATTAGGGAGCTTTAGCAATGAAGACAACCACGGCTTTGAGAACGTCAAAAAAGCAACAGGTTTTGTTGTGTACACTGTTTTGATAAGTCTCTCTCTGAAAATGCCTGATTTCATGTGTTATTGAGGAAATAAATAAGCAACAACAGATTTTTCTTTCTGAGTACTGTCCCCAAGAAATCAACTCCAGGGAAATTCACCTGTGCCAAAGTTTGAAAAAATGCAAAGTCATTTTTAGGGTTGGTATAGATTCTTGAATTATTGAAAAAGTCTTGAAATTTGCTGAGCAATTTTCCAGCCCTGGAAAAAGTCTGGAAAAATGGAATAAAGTCATGTAAGAGTTTTTTTTCTTATCCTGTTTTATTTTATATCTTTAAGCTAAGCTACAACAGGTGCTTTTAAGTGAAATCTTTTTTCAATATTGCAGCTAAGTTTGCAGCCCATCATGAAAAAAGCTTTGTTCCTGCCTTTTTTAAGGTCTCTATCGATCACCTATTTTGATAACGTTTAGTCTGGTAAAAAAATCTGCTGTTTTGGAAAAAAGTCTGGAAAAAGTCTTGATTTTTGGATCCAAATCCAGTATGAACCCTGATTTTAAAATAATGTGACGTTTTCGCTGCCATTGCCGTTGCCGTTGTCGATGCTAAAGCTCCCTCTTATGGCTGAACGGGAGTGTTCTCCCTTAATCAGATCATCAAGATGCTATATTCAAATGTGGCCGCTAATAAACTATATAATGGTATTTCCCCTACCAGGAACACACATCCTTAGTGATATGTGTTTCTCTACCCAGGAAACACATATCACTAGTTATGGTATTGAATGCCTCTCTCTTTCTAATGCTCATCTTATATTATACGCCCCTCAAATTAAATAAATGCACCAGGTGCTTGTCAGATCATTTATAGTAATCAGGCCAAGGTGCTTATTCAAATGTGGCTGCTAGTAATTATTTATGCTAGTATGGTTTACTAGAATTAATTGGTCTGTTCTGGAAATTGTTATTATTTTAGTCATTTAATGATCATATGAATTAATGAGCTGAAGTACATTTTCAACTTTTCTTTCCAGATCAGATGCCCCAGATTGGATCAAGACTTAAGCAGCCTGGATTTAGTTAGAGATAATCTTCAATACTGTAAGTGCAGTACATTTTACTTTTTCAAAGTTTCTGATTTTTGTTACAGTTATATTGAACATCTTTGAAGGAGAAACCTCCCTGATATACAAGCTTGAGATATGCCTTTAGAAAAGAAAAGGGACACTTATTTTCCAGTAATTAGGGAGCTTTAGCAATGAAGACAACCACGGCTTTGAGAAGGTCAAAAAAGCAATAGGTTTTGTTATGTACACTGTTTTGATAAGACATAGTCTCTCTCTGAAAATGCCTAATTTCATGTGTTATGGAGGAAATAAATAAGCAACAACAAATGTTTCTTTCTGAGTATTGTCCCCAAGAAATCAACTCCAGGGAAATTCACCTACATTTGACCTTCTCATCGAAAATGAATAAATGTGTCAGAGTTTGAAAAATGCAAAGTCATTTTTATGGTTCGTATAGATTCTTGAATTATTGAAAAAGTCTTGAAATTTGCTGAGCAATTTTCCAGCCCTGGAAAAAGTCTGGAAAAATGGAATAAAGTCATGTAAGAGTTTTTTTTCTTATCTTGTTTTATTTTATTTCTTTAAGCTAAGCTACAACAGGTGCTTTTAAGTGAAATTATTTGTTTTGTTTTGGTGAAATCTTTTTCAATATTGCAGCTAAGTTTGCAGCCCATCGTGAAAAAGGCTTTGTTCCTGCCTTTTTTAAGGTCTCTATCGATCACCTATTTTGTTAACCTTGAGTCTGGAATAAAACTGTTGTTTTGGTAAAAAGTCTGGAAAAACTCTTGATTTTTGGATCCAAATCCAGTATGAACCCCGATTTTAAAATAGTGTGACATTTTCGCTGCCATTGCCGTTGCCGTCGTCAATGCTAAAGCTCCCTCTTATGGCTGAACAGGAGTGTGCTCCATTAATCAGGCCAAGATGCCATATTCAAATGTGGCTGCTAATAATTATATATGCTCGAATTAGGTCTGTTTTGGACATTAATAATCAGTAAAATTAATTAATGAGCTGTAACATAATTATTTTCAACTTTTCTTTCCAGATCAGATGCCCCAGAATGTATCAAGACTTCATGAGCAGCCCAAATTTAGTTACAGCTTATCTTCAGTACTGTAAGTGCTGTACATTTTACTTTGTAATCCAGCTCTTGAGTGAACCAGATAAATGGGACTGTAACCTGTGTTTGGGCAAAGTATCATTAAGCTAATCCAGGGAAAGCTGTACCTAGTTCTTTCTTTTTACAATAATTATTTTATTATTTCACCATCAAGTGTACCACAGCGACTGGAACTACATGTAGAAGTTCATCAATTTTTCTGTTTCCAATAAACCAGGCAAATTAATTCACTTTTTGCAAGCAAATCAAAATTCAAAAAAGATAATTCCATGCTAAACAATAGATCAAAATGATTATTACAACTTGATTGCTCAACATTAATTTTGTACCACATTTTGATTTGACTTATGGTAATTCAAATTATTTGAACCCGGGATTGGAGATCATTATACAAAAGTTCCAAAGCAAAAAGGTTGAAGATTATGATCATCATGTGGAGTGTTTTCCTTAACAGTCAGGACTCAGCAGTCTGTACTGTTGGCAATTCAGCTGGCAACTAGCATTTCAACCCAAGCCATTGATCATGAATAACAGTGACTTAATCTGATTAAATTTGGCACTTAAATAAGAGGAACTAAATAAGTTCATTCTGTCCTTCTTCCTGTTTCCACTAAATTTATAGACATATTAGCACAAAATTGCACTATCAGTGCAGCAGAAACACCTCTATTTCACATTAATATTTAGATTACTAAATTCCAGGTGATGTACAATTGTTGGTGAAGTGATAGCTAGTGCAAAAATCTCCATGGTTGCTGCTAGTTTTCTCCTGGATAAGCATTAATCTACTTTGTTCAACCGTGTCACAGTTTTTTTTATTTAATCAAAGCCAAGTTCTGCTGAACATAATCATTATGACCAAACTGGTGCTAGTATGGATATGCAATCTACAGTACATGCTACCCTTTAAATTCATTCTTACTGAGTAAAACTGATTGAATGGTTTTGAGGTCAAGAAATTATTGCCTGTCTGACAGAATAACGTTCACAGCAACCTTTAAATTGAACCCAGGTGATGGACCAATTAATAAACTGAGGCGTGCTCAGTGATGGAAATTATAATCTATTGACCATTGTAAATGCAAATTATTATTATTATTATTTTTATTGGACTGATTCAGTGTTTCTTAATGGCTGGCTAACTGTCTCAGAAGCTGCTAATTGTCTAACTGACTTGGTGGAATGTTTTAGTGACTCAATGATTGACTGACAACCTACATGTACATAGCTGCTGTCTGAATGAATAAGGAACTATCAAACTTATTGACATTATTGGTAGATTGACAATGTGGTGTTCTCTTCATTGCAAAGGAAGAATTTTTTTGCTGGATTGACTGTGTTTCTCAATGGCTGGTATAATGTAACTGCCTCAGAAGCTGTTAAATGTCTGACTGACTTGATGAAATGTATAATTTATTGACTCAGTTGTTAACTGACATCAACTGACCTAGCGACTGTCTGAATGACTCAGGATGTTTAGAACTGATTGACATTACTGCTATACTGATTCTTTGGCTCAGTGGTTATTCATTTTTGCTGCACCTGGCTGTGGGTTTTGATGGGTGGCTGAATGCCTCAGAAGCTGTTAATTGTCTGACTGACTTGATGGAATCATTAATTACTCATTGGTTAACTGAGAACTGACTTAGTGACTATCTGAATGACTCAGGAACTTTCAGTGAGAGTGATTGACCTTATTGCTAGACTGATTATGTGGCTCAATGGTTAAAAGGCAAAATGAGTAGCTGCTTGTCTTTGTGAGTAACACTGCGGTTGACTGACCATCTGACTGAGTGACCATCTTTTAAATACTGGTCACTCAGTAAAACTGTCATAAAAATCTCACTGACATGTTGTTGGATGGACCCATTGACACAGTGGGAGACTAACTAGTGGACTTGGTGAGTGTTTGGCTGTGTCTGACTGACATATTGCTAAACCAACTCTAACTTACCTGCAGTGACTGACCAACTCATTGAGTTGCTGTGTGTATGACTGGTGTAATGCTGGACTGACTGAAACTGAATAACATGTATTAAATGACTGATTGCCTCAGCAGTAGCTGTGTGTTTGACTGATGTAATACATAACTGGACTTACTGACATTGACTTACCTGTGTTGATTGACTGATTGCCTCACCAGTAGTACTGGACTTACTATGACCTACATGTATTGATTGACGGATTGCCTCAGCAGCAGCTGTGTGTTTGACTGATGTAATACTGGACTAACTGACAGTGCCTTACATGTATTGATTGACTGATTGGATCAGCAGCAGCTGTGTGTCTGACTGATATGATACTGGACTAACTGACACTGACTTGTATGTATTCACTGACTGACTGCCCTCAGCAGTAGCTGTGTGTTTGACTGATATATTACTGGCCTAACTGACAGTGACTTACATGTATTGATTTACTAGTTGCCTCAGCAGCAGCTGTGTGTCTGACTGATATAATACTGGACTAACTGACACTGACTTGCATGCATTCACTGACTGACTGCCCTGAGCAGTAGCTGTGTGTTTGACTGATATATTACTGGACTAACTGACTGTGACTTACTGTACATGTATTGATTGACTGATTGCTTCAGCATCAGCTGTGTGTTTGACTCACATAATACTGGACTAACTGACAGTGACTTACATGTATTGATTGACTGATTACCTCAGCAGCAGCTGTGTGTTTCACTGATGTAATACTGGACTAACTGACTGCGACTTACATGTATTGATTGACTGATTGCTTCAGCATCAGCTGTGTTTGACTGATGTAATACTGGACTAACTGAAAGTGACATGTATTGATTGACTGATTACCTCAGCAGTAGCTGAGTGTCTGACTGATGTAATACTGGACTAATTGACAGTGACTTACATGTATTGATTGACTGATTACCTCAGCAGTAGCTGAGTGTCTGACTGATGTAATACTGGACTAACTGACAGTGACTTACATGTACAGATTGACTGATTACCTCAGCAGCAGCTGTGTGTCTCACTGATATAATACTGGACTAACTGACCGTGACTTACATGTATTGATTGACGGATTACTTCAGCAGTAGCTGTGTGTTTGACTGATGTAATACTGGACTAACTGACAGTGACTTACATGTATTGATTGACTGATTGCATCAGCAGCAGCTGTGTGTCTGACTGATGTAATACTGGACTAACTGACTGTGACTTACATGTATTGATTGACTGATTGCCTCAGCAGCAGCTGTGTGTCTGACTGATGTAATACTGGACTAACTGACTGTGACTTACATGTATTGATTGACTGATTGCCTCAGCAGCAGCTGTGTGTCTGACTGATGTAATACTGGGCTAACAGTGACTTACATGTGTTGATTGACTGATTACCTCAGCAGTAGCTGAGTGTATTATGACTGATGTAATACTAGACTAACTGACAGTGACTTATATCTTTTGATTGACTGATTACCTCAGCAGTAGCTGAGTGTATTATGACTGATGTAATACTAGACTAACTGATAGTGACTAATATCTATTGATTGACTGATTACCTCAGCAGTAGCTGAGTGTATTATGACTGATGTAATACTAGACTAACTGACAGTGACTTATATCTATTGATTGACTGATTGCATCAGCAGCAGCTGTGTGTCTGACTGATGTAATACTGGACTTGACAGTGACTTACATGTGTTGATTGACTGATTGCGACTTACATGTATTCATTGACTAATTGCTTCAATAGCTGTGCCTCTGACTGATAAAATACTTGACTAACTTGTGGATTTTTGATGTTGTGATTTGTTTACATTGCCTATATGATAGTCAAGAAAACAAGCGCTCTTACATTTCTCCCTAAGTACACTCATGTTCAACACTTGTCCGCGCGCTGAGATAGTCCAGTAAATAATCTTTATGTCAAAAGTGATCGGTGAAAGCAGAATCAATTTCCAGTGACAACGTTTGGGCATTTTCTACTTTTTCTTAACGTGCTTGCAATTTTTAATAAAAGGGCTTATCGGCTGCCTATCTCTTCATGACCAGTAAAATGGCTAAAGTAGTTGTAGAGAAACTGTGTTCAGCCACCTAACTGATTCATCCCACAGCTGACTGAGTACAAATTCTTCTAACTTTCGGGAGCCGTTGTAATCGCTTCTTCTGAGATATACAGCTGAAAATATACAAATTACATAATTTTTATATGTTCTTTGAGTTTGTTCCAAAATAAGTATTCTAAAATGATGTTTTTTATGTGTTTACAGAATGTTGATCTCGTGATCAATTAATTTAAAAACCCTATTTTCCATATTAAAACCAATTACAGAAATCAGGTTGTTGCTGACTTGTGTACTGGGAGAGTGACTGCCTCTAGGTTTTTATTGTGACTTAATATGCTGACTGACTATTGAACTGAACTCGCAGCTTGTCTGGACAATTCACAGTTGCATTGTTTTTGTTTGTTTTTTGAAATGGTGTAGTTGGTAGATTGCATATCTGTGCTGACTCATAGACTTGTTTTCTGTGAGCTTGTCGAGTGCATTGTTTTTGAAATCTCTCTTGCTCATCCTCAACTCCTCTGAAAAAAGGCGATTTCAGTCCCAGCGTGCAATAAAGTCTGAGGAATGACTGATTACATTTCATATTGATGATGCACTGCTTCTTGCTGGCTGTTAATTATTTCAAACATTATAATAATTATACAACCAATCAAATCATCAGCCTGAACTCTGCAGTACAGCATCTTCACTATGAAACTGAACAGCCCTTCCGTAGACTTTGTTTTATGGGGGCGTGGGGGTGGGGGAAGAGGAGTGTTTGTTCTTACGCAAAACTGCAGTCATCAAATTAATCTGCTGTCTTGTTTTTGAGCTTCTTTACCTAACATTCATCACTGCAGCAACTAATCTTCCTATTCTTGAGGGTTATTTTTCAGTTAACGAAAGGAAAAATTCAAAATTCTAAAATTCAATTTCAGTTTTCAGTTTCACTTTAAGCTGGGGTGTTGGTGTTTGTCCGGTTCTTTTTTGTTTTTTTTTTTAACAGAAAATCTTCACGCTAAACAGTTTCCGTAGATAAAAAGTTGCATTTGGCGTGGTTGAACTGGAATTTCAATTTGTACATTTTGATTAACTGCGAATTTGAACGGTGGTCATCTAAAACCTTAGAACAAAACAGTTAGTGCTTTGACCATGACTCTATGAAAGTGGTGTGGCTGTATTTCTGACAACCATCGAAATGAAATATAAATTAATTTTAAAACACAACCACATTTAAAACGAACGTTGCCAAAATTTCTGCTGCAGTGTTACTTGCGCTTGACAGTGTTACAATTTCCCAACAAGAATGTGCATGGAACGTTGAGTAATCTGAGGACGCAAATTAAAGTGGGGAGATTTTGAAAACTTGCACTCGTCTTTTTCAGTTCCAGAGTGATCAACATGTTATTTCTCTTTACTTCTTTGAGTAAATTACCAAGCAGAAGGGTGTTGAAAATAAACGTAATTATGATGAGTGGG